TTGAGTTGTGGATGGTTAGGGTGATACGTGGAGACCAGGTCGGAGTGTGGCGATGTGAGGAGAGAGAGGGATAGAGAGGGAGTCAGCGGAGCAGGCCAGTGTGACTTTGTTGGTGTTGGTAGATAATTAGGGTTAGTTTTGAGTATTTTTGAATTCCGGGAATGTGTGTGTAGGTTAAGGTTCTGTGGGAATTTCTCGTGGTGCAGAAGGTGGCGAGTGGTAGGAATGAGGGTTTGAATCTTTGGTGGAGATCTTCATAGGATGCGCATGCAAGTGTGCGATTCGTGGTGTTCGCACCGACTTCTGATAAATGGCCCTGACTGTCGGGTAGCGTTGGTTGTGAAATTTGAGGAGGTTTTTGTTTGGAGTGCAAGATTTAGATTCGGGATGTGTAGCGTCCGAAGACTCTATGATTCCCGTGGGTGGTGGTAGGAGATGTAGTTGTTCGATATGAGGGGTGTGAAGTTGCTGTAGTGTGTTGGCCGTGTGCAACCGAGGGTAGGGATGAGATTCTGCGCTGCGAGGATGCTGTAACGTTTCAGTGGAGACGAAGTAGGGAGGATGATAGAGGAAAGAGGCAGTTCTCGTGGTAGCCGTGAGGATCGGGGCAGTTCAAGGGGCAGTTCAAGGGGTAGTTTCGAAGACAAAGGAAGTTCTCATGACTGGAAGGGAATGGGAGGATCTACGCCGAGGCCGCGGCTCACGCGTCTCGTTGCGAAGAAGGATCGGAATTATGATGCGAAAGTGGATTCCGATTTTGATGATGATAGTTCAGTCCATTCTACTTCCTCTCCTCGTCTTTCACCCGCGTCTAGTGATAACTTAAGCAAGATCACTATTGGACAACAGAGCTTTCGAGTGGGAGGCGACGTAGACAATTTGAAAGCTCTGTACGAGGCCCTGGGTGCGACGAGTCCTGCGGCACTAGGTATTGAAGCCTCAGATTGGGAGTCTCGTCGAAAGTCCGCTGTTTACAGCCGACCAACTTCTCCCCCCAGAGTGTCACATGATACTGGTCAGTCTTCTTACTCCCACGACTTCCAGTTTCCGGCAAGTAGGGTCGATTCTAGTCTCGAATCGCCCCCTCTTTCGCCTCGCGGACTTGCCCCGATGTCTCCCGTTAGACCCATTGAGGTGGAATGGAGGAAGCATCGGAACAATTATGCCAAGCCTACTATATCGAATCGCCCTGGTCGTGAGAATAATCCCCTGAAGCCCTCGCAGCCACCTCCGACCATGTTTCCTCAGTCTTCTGGATTAAGGACGCCTGACCCCTTACCACCCATTGACACCTCGACTTCTCGATTGGGTAGGGAAAGCTTAGAGTTGCAGAATAGGCATACTACGTTGGGAGCCTATTCTCCGCCGGGCCTAAGGAAAGTCCATTCAGAACTTACAGGATTGGTCTCAGCTCGTAGCGACGGGGCCGGTTGGGCATCTGATATTGAGTCGGCCAAACGAAATGAGGATTTAGCTGTAGCAAGTCCGGTCTTTCGTGATAATTTGCCTTCAGCTGCAGTAGCAATGCCCAACGGCAGTCTAGTTCGGGCTTCCTTCACTCCGAGAGATTCCAACCGGATGAACAGTGTTAGAAGTAATAGTCATGGACTTCGATGGAACTCCTGTCATGCACAAGAAGCGGAGGCTATCGCGAAAACTGCTTTAGAAGAGACTTCTAATGGGCTACGAATAGAGGATCCTGAAAGAATAAGAGATCTGGAAAAGCCTTCACCATTGATCATTGAAAAGGTTGATGAACCTCTGAGTGAGGTTTCTAGTAGCGTCAGTACAGAATCATCACCTAGTGTTATTCCAAAAAGACCCCCCTGGGACACCTGGGCTAAAGGTGAATTTCTCGGAAGTGGAACATTTGGTTCAGTGTATGAGGGTGTGGCAAGAAATGGAACGTTTTTTGCTGTGAAGGAAGTTAATCTTGCAGATGAAGGAAAGCTTGGAAGACAGGCCGTCAAGCAACTGGAACGGGAGATAGCACTTCTTAGCGATATCCAGCATCCCAACATTGTTCAGTACCTGGGCACTGAAAGAACAGAGGACAAACTCTACATTTTTCTGGAACTGTTAAACAAGGGTTCATTGGCCAATCTCTACAGGAAATACGGATTATTTTATGAACAAATTAAAGCGTATACAGAGCAGATTCTTACCGGCCTCAAGTACCTTCATGACCGGAAGATCATACATAGAGATATTAAGTGCGCCAATATTCTCGTAGATACAAATGGAGTGGTTAAGCTGGCCGACTTTGGGATGGCTAAACAGGTAGAAAAATTTGGATTCGCGAAGTCATTCGTGGGCAGTGCTCACTGGATGGCTCCGGAAGTGGTCGATCCGAAGCAGCAGTATAATTTCGCCGCTGATATATGGAGTCTGGGTTGTACGGTGTTGGAGATGGCAACCGAAGGTCCGCCTTTCGGAGAGTTAGAGTTCATCGCCGTATTTTGGAAAATAGGGAGGGGAGAGGCTCCACTTATTCCGGACGACCTTGAGGATGAATTGAAGGATTTCATTGCCCAGTGTTTGCAAGTAGATGCCTCAAAACGACCCACTTGCGACATGCTTCTGGCACACCCCTTCATTACTGGTGAAGAGATGACCGGTCCAGTGACTCAAATGGGAACACCTGGGCTGTCTACAATTTCTGAGGAAAGGTCTGTTGATATGTCAGTTACTTCGAGCATTGCAGTAAGTTCGAATTCAGGAACCTCTCCGAGAGTGATCGAGAATCTGGTTAATCACCTTTCAATTGAAAGACGGCCAAAATCCATGAGAACTTTGCGAAGCGAGTTAAGCATGAGTTCTGCAGAAAGTATCGCATCGTGATTGAGAAGAAAAATTGTATCTTTAGGCTGCCCACAACTTTCCCCTATTGGAAGTCGCGGGTAGAATTCGAGGATGAAAATGTAACAAAATTTGAAGTGAATTACGGCTATGAACAATTCTCTGTGGATTGGTGGTTTTGATAGGATAATCCTGAGTAGAACTATTCCTTACAGGAGCTGTGTGGATAATTTTTTAAATGGGATGCAGAAGACGTATAGTTTGGTGCAAGGAAACCATAGTACATTGATAATACGGAGAGGTGCTGCTAGGTATTGTGGTTGAAACATCTGACTATGTAGGACACACCTTTTGGCACTGGACTTGTCAGCCTTACGTTTCCCTCTTAGATTATGACACTGAGATGCGAACAATATCTCTGCTGGTATTCAAAGCAAGCAACCGGTTTAGAAGTAGGTTTGATGTTGGAAATGGTGCTCAAAGTGGTGTCATGTTGCTTGTCGTTCATTTTTAGACTTACGCAGGGAATCAGGAAGCTGATTGCGAGAATAGCTAGTTCAGTATTGGATGTCCGCGCGAGCTTGATAAAGTCTTCCTTTGCGGCTATGCAGTGGCCATACTACCTGCTGGTGGCCGTACAGTGGAATGCCGTATGTGTTGTATTTTGAAAGCTCTTGTCGGAAACCAGCAGTATTATACGGGGCACTCTGTTGTGCTGAAAACCTGTGTGCTTATAGGAGGAGAAGATGGCCACGGAGTACGAATGACAAAATGAGATGCTTGTTGCAATAGTTCTATTTGGGGGGGAGGGGGGTGTGCGCATACAGAAAGAAGTTTCTCCCAATGTCGACGATTCCTATCAGGAAGTACAGAGTTCGTTGATTGTTGCTTGGAAATGGGAACGTTCAGCCTGAGTCCAGTTGGATCAGCACAGAGTGATACACTGGGTGTACCTAGAGGCTGAACGGAGATCCTTCTAAATACAGGTATGGCCTTTGTGAGCTCTCTTATTCGTTCGTTATTGATGGTGCATACCCTAATGCTGTGAATTCACACGGAAGTCTTTCGTACGGCCAGAAAATTTTGACCTAAGGGCAACCAGTCACTTTACCATGTCTTGTAACCTTACTTGTTAAGCCAGGTTTCAGGAATATTGAACAGTTAAACAATTCAATGTCTCTAACAACCGTCTTCTCAGGACAAGAGCCTTCAGCAAGAAAACATGAAGCTGCATAAGAACTTTAGTTGACAACGTACGGAAGCTGAAATGGAGTGACTTCAATGGTGATACGTAATCTAATCGGGATTGCAGACCTCTTCGCAGGTGCAACTAAGTGAAAACACTGAAAATGAAGAGGCCATTGTTCTCAACAATCAGCGTGATTGAAACTCTGAATATGATCAGGAGTGAACTTAGCTACTAAACTTTACCAATGTGCTTTCCTATCAGCTAGAATCTCTTGTACATTAAGTCTGATATATGCAATTGTTTCAAATACCCGTTCATAGCTTATCTCTTTATTGCATAGGCTTCATTCAAGCTTACGCAGAGTGCACTGTACATGTTGAAAATCTATATTTAATTCGGGATACATCTGCTGAAATTGGTTCCAGTCCTTGCAAAGATGCTTGCTGCAATCTGGTTAGCCCATCTGATGTCCTCTTGTACTTTTAATTGATCGTCTCAAGGTGAATGGTGAAGTTAATGAAGACCTCACCAAGGATTGAAGAAATGCCTTTCAACTCATAATTCTCCGAGAGCTTTTTGTTGGTTTCTAAGATTCGTTGCAAATGATACGTTGAATTCCAAATTTGGTCTTCAGATGCACTTGGACATTGTAGATTTGAAGTCGATTACGTAGTGTGGCACATAAAGCATTTATGCTCTTAATTGTTTGAAGTTGGATCTAATATTTACTTTTTTAATTCATCATTTATTTTTATTGTTCGTTTCTTGAAGGTATTGGCACGTGTGCTTAAAAATGTATTTTCTTCACATCTACCTGTTCTAAAATGGCATCTGAAAATAATGTAAACACAATACTGTACAGTTTTAATCTATAACGTCTGTACTGGAAAATTTTGTTTCATTTCTTATCAGAAACATATTTTCATCGTTTGCAATTTCACACGTGTGTCTTAACTTTTTAGGCATTCGAATAATTAACGTCTATTGTGAAATATGAGTAAAAAAGCGACATGTCTACAAACTTTGTAATTGTTGAAAACTATAGGTGGTAAAGATATAATTTCAATTTTTAATTATTTTTTTCTGTTCAGTTTGGTGATCAGCAATTCAGAAAAGAATTACTGCGCACATCTAGATACACACATACGAATAGTTAGATGCATAATTTATTGTATACAAACCACAATTACATTTTTTTTTTTTTTTCTCTCAAAAAGTTTATTTTTTTAACACATGCTACAGAAGTTGATATTGAAAAAATATAATATGCTTTACTTGTATTTGTAAGACAATGGAATAAGAAGTATAAATTGTAAAAATTCTGGAAGTAATAACCGATAACTTTCTTACATAAATTTCAAAATACATTACATGAATTTTCATATACGTATACGAAATATGTTAATTTCGATAAACACGAAGTTAAATAAATGTTATCAACGTATATAGCCACAAAATGTTTTAATCCGAGAATGTGTACAGGATTTCTTTAATTAAAAGTTACGTTGACATTTAAAGTAAGGCCTGCTTTGGGAAAGCTAAAAGTGTTTCTGGAATGCAGGGAACTTGATGGGATCTGACCAACGAACGAACGAACGAAGGGCAGCGGGGAGGGGGATGATGATGTAGGGGGCTAAGCAGGGAACGCGGGAACACGGCGGTGGGGAGCTTGGGCAAGGAGTGGTGCGTGGATAGCTGCTCCTGATAAGCCTCCGATGGGCAGCGGGTCAGTGGTTTTCTCCCCCCCCCCCCCACCCCAGCGTTGCCCCCCTGCCCGGGAAGCTTCTTCGTCCCCCTTGCGGCGCCTCCCCATCCTCACGGTGGACAATGAGGGAAGGCGGGGAAGGTGAATATATTTTTCAACATTCGGGCAGGAAGGCTGCCCGGTGCTATGGGGCGAGGGAGGGCCGTGAAAGGAAGGGAGGCAGAGACAGAGCAGAATGGGAGCCAGCAGCAGGAGGAAGAAGAAGAAGAGCACAGCACAGGCAGAGAAGGAAGTGTCGCAGAGGCAGCAGCAGCAGCAGCTACCACTGTTGTAGTAGTAGTAGCAGAAGAAGAAGAAGAGTGCCATCGCTGGGGGCTCCGACTTAAAGCGCCAGGCAGCCAGGCTTCCTTCCTCTCTCCCTGGCCTCTGAGTGAGTGAAGTGAAGTGAGTGAGAGAGGCAACGACAAAGTTCATCAGTGAGGGCATCCAGGTTGAGGCATTGGAGGGCGCGGGGAGGTGAGGATTTGGCAGGGTGCGACGGAAGCGAGAGGGTGAGAGAAAGTTAAGAGCGACGGAGGAAAGGGAGAGAGTTACGTGTGTGGACTATTATGGGAAAGGGGATGGAAGAAGAGCGGGAGTAGGCGAGGGAGTGGGGGGGAGACCGGTGGGGATGAGGAGGCCGTGGACGAAGGGTTGACTGGACGAAGCTCTGCGGCAGTGGACGAGGTAGAGGGTCGATGATTGTTTGTAAAGATTTTTGAGTTATAATGTGTAGGTTTTTGAAGTGGTGCTGGGGGAATGGTGGAGGACTGACAATGTGGGGGAGGGATGGGGTGGAATGGTGTGTGGGAGCAGATCTGCGGTCTGAAGATAGGGACTGTAGGGATGGATTCGTATGAGGCCACGCGGATTGTGTATGGAAGGGTGCAGGCTCTGGAGCCCGAGACAGGGAGCAAGATTATGTTGCATCTGCTGTTGCAAGAGCACGGAGAGAGGGAGATGGTGCGCCTGGCTCTCGGCTCGAATGTGCTCATACAGTCGGTTGTGAAGAAAGCGAAGAAGGAGCTTGGGCTGGAGGACAACCGGGATGTGATGCCACTGCAACATAATGCTCCTTTGTACATTCCAGATCACGACTTCGCAAGTGGTAGCTTTGGCTCCAATGTGTTGTCCTCGCCCAGCTTGCACGACCAGGTGGTCGCCCTTCAGCAGCAGCAGCAGAATCAGCATCACAACCAGCTCTTTTTGCAGGAACAGCTCCCTCTCCACGATCAGATGTCTAGCCTTTCAGATGCATTCGACCGGCAAAACTCCCTGCATGCATTCTATGATCATTACTATCCAGAGACCTATGCCTTTCTGAACAGCAGTAAAGAGTTCCTCCATTCCCGATCTAGCAGTAGCCGCGCCTCTCTCGCCGTAGACAGTTCGTCGTCTCCTGATCTCGGCCCTGCACTTGCGTGGAAGCCTTGCCTCTACTTCGCTAGAGGCTATTGCAAGCATGGCAGTAGTTGTCGCTTCCTTCATGGGTCTTTAAGGGAAAGCTCAGGCTCCCCTGCGTCTAGTAATGGACACCGTGAGCTCAGGATGGACGACGGAATGGCTCCGGGATCCCTCGAAAGACTAGAAATCGAGCTTCAGGAGCTTTTGCGCGGACGACGTGCGCCTGTTTCCATAGCTTCACTCCCTCAGTTGTACTATGAAAGGTTTGGTAAAACTCTGCAAGCCGAAGGTTATCTCACTGAAAGCCAGCGGCATGGAAAAGCTGGTTACAGCCTTACAAAGCTGCTAGCCCGCTTGAAGAATACTGTGACTCTGATTGATAGGTACGTGCCTTCGGCTTGTCCAAATCTTTGGCACCCGTGGTATGCTCTACACGCTTCTCCACTTTTATTCCATTTAACGGTGTGGAAACGGCAGGTGTGCTCTTGAATGCCTTCGAGTGTGGCTTGTTCAGCGCTTCCCTCTATCCCTCCCCCCCCCCCCCCTTTGTCGTGTACCGGATTTCCGTTGAGGTCCGCGAGAATGTTGCTACATTTACTAGGATATTAGAATGTCTTGGTTCTTTTGGTTGAATTGCACAGGTGGTGTGCAGGTGCATGTTCTGAGGTAGGCAAACAATGCCATTTATCGTGTACGTGTCAGTAGGTTTAGTAATGCGAATTTTGATTCTTTTGCTGCTGCATGTGGATGATTCTTGTAGAATACCTGTTGGCTGATTGATTCTGTAGCATTCTCCTGTGCTTGTTGGACTGCAGGATTAGCAATATGTCCTTTACCTTGTCAGATGCTTACTTAGACTACGACTAGTAGTGCTCTCTCTGCGCTGGTGAGAATTAATCTACACGCATCCTTAGCAAGCGTTGAGTGCAAGAGTCGGCTTACTCAGGCCTTTGGTATGAAAGCGGTGAGTGGTGACATTTTTATGTTTCGCCGAGGTTGTAAGGGTCTCGGGGGTGACGACGGAGTTTATCGAACTCACTTTCTAGATCCGAGGGTTGGAAAGGAAGGGCATGAGGCAGCAGAGAGGGTACCCTTCTTACAGTGGGTGTGGGCAGTGGTTTACTCAGACACAAGCACACTGCTGGGTGTTTGAACAGGCCTCACGGTCAACATGCAGTTGTGCTTGCGGAGGATGCACATCGCTTCACTGCATATCGGTCCGACCATCGCGGGGAGGATTTAAGTGGAATCAATCCATCTTCTCGTCAGATCTACCTTACGTTTCCCGCCGAATCTACTTTTACCGAAGAGGATGTAACAGCACATTTCAGGTCGGTGGTGCTGGTCACTCTTTTATTCTTATATATTTTAACACTCTGACATGCACTTCCGACCACCAGAGACTCATTAGTACTGGACGGATGCAGGGCTTACGGTCCTGTCCAAGATGTCCGGATCCCCTATCAGCAAAAGCGGATGTTTGGTTTTGTGACTTTTGTATATTCAGAAACTGTCAAGGCAATTTTGTCCGAAGGAAACCCACACTACATTTGTGGAGCTCGTGTGCTTGTCAAGCCCTACAGAGAAAAAGGAAAACATGGTGACAGGTAAAAGATTATATCACGCGTTAGATTGAAAGGATGTTTTCCAGTTCGGGTTTATCAGGGTTTTTATCTCGTCTTTCAGTTAGTATTTATCACTGTCGTTGTTGAAATCGATGTTACGAGTCTTTGTTTGTTAGACCTTTCTTTTTGATAAACGTATGTGTTGGTGTATCAGAAAAAATTCCGAGAGGGCAGATCATGCCCGATTTGTACAGAGCCGTAGTATTGATGGCAAGGATTATCATTCAAGTGAGCTATCTAACTCTGTTTTTTGCAATTAAAAAGCATTGGGGCATCCTCCTTTTGAAACGAGACCTAGTTTTCGGGAACACTTGTTTACCCAACTTTGACTAGTTGTGGGTTTTTTCTAGTGCTCAACATTATATTTAAAAATTCACGTTTTTCTTCTTTTTTTAAAATTTGGATTATCGCTACCTACAGGGCGTTTTGGACACACCTTATAACATTGGAGTGATTATTGTTTATTCTTTTTTTGTCGTTGTCTTTCCCCCCCACCCTGGTGTTTGGGTGCAGTACCCAAATTCTACGAAGAAGAAGAAGCTTTTACCCGCCGATTGGAAGAAGAAGAAGAATTAGAGCGTCGGCGCTTGGCTGAGCTGCATCTAGTTGATGTGCAACGCCGCCGTGAAGAGGCCGATGCCACCATGGCTGTTGTGGCTGCACAAAATCGAGCTCTTGCCAATACTGGGTTCTCTACAGATGATTTAGGGCTGTCTGATGAAGGTACACAGTAATTTCCAGATAGCTTATCTGTGTAAGCTTCTTTCATGGAATTTGAGCTGTCATTACACCGAAGTATCTATTGAAAGTGTGAACTTGTGTCTTCTTATCGAAGGAGCCACAGGTTTGTCCCAGTTTCATCCAAGCAATTCATTTGGTTATTTGCTCGACGTTCTGGATGGTGGTGAACCGGGAGACGAAATTGAACCTGCCCCTGAATTTTTTGGCAGCAAACAGACAAGGTGATTGGGTTTCTCTAATCCATATTTTTTTCTTTGTATCTCTAACGTCTGTCTTTGATTATGCTGTTGGGTACTTGATAATCTGTGTCGCACGTTTCATATTCGTTTCGCTTGATTGACATTTTCCTTTTCAAATTTCTGCAGCAGTGGTAACGGGCACAATTTGCCAGAAAGTCCATTTACAAGCCCATTGGGAATGAGCAAGCAGAAGGTTTTTGCATTGCCAGAAAAACTGAGTAATCTGAGTTTGCAGAGCTCGCAGGTGGCACTCGAATCAATACTGTTTGCGAACTTTCTCTCACTCAAGTTGTCTGCTTGGGTTTGTTTTGTTCACGTGTTAATAGTTAATGCAATCCTAGTTTGACAGTTGATTGCGGGGTGTAGCTTGCTGTATAATTCATAATGATGTATACCAATAAGTGTTTGCAGTCAATAACACAATGGTATGTGAGTCAGTTTTCGTTGCGTTCCGAGTTCAAATATTGACCTCTATGTTGCAGAATACTCAGGAAACATTGTTCAGTTGGAATGCCGCTACACTTTTTGCGTCCAGCGCGTTTTGAAGGTGAGTGTCCCAGTCTGGCTGTGAGTTCGATATGTATGGAATCAATTTTTGATCGTGCTTAATGGCAGTGTTGATCTTGATTGCATGCCAGACCATGCAGGGGAGCAAGAAAAGAATGATGGCTCCAAAGTATGAAGAGGCAAGGAATGGATATTTATATATTCAAATATTTAAACACAATGTGGCGTACATGCCCGGGCAGTCTAACTCACGCATCCGCAGCTACTCCAAGAAGGAGGGTAGAAGCAGGTGCGTGGTGGGGCTGCTAAATACACTTCTACTACAGTGACCCCTCTTGTATGATGTGCTGAGCAAGACAGGACCCATTTTCTGGGTGTCATGTCGACTGCCCCACAGATGTAATTCAACATTACTGGAATAGGTTAAGTTTTGGATGAAGAAAAGTTATTTTATCAAATAGATGTAATTTCATCTATTTAGAAAATAGACGGCATTTGCAGTACATAAAAGAAGGCGAAGACGAGAGGAGCACTCTACTAAAAATTCATATGAATGGCACTGTTGCTAGGATGCGTCAGATACAGGTCAAACAGATAGCAGCCCTTCAATTCATTCTCTCTCCCAGTTTTTGGATTTCAATTATACAGTAACACTCATCTTCTTCCCTCACCAACTCTGTGGGTAATGTAGCTTTCTGGAAGCTTATAACAGCGTAATTGATGCTGTATTCATCCACTTACCATGTCTGAATGACAGACATTCTCTCTTGCATATGTTACGCATGTACTTCTCCTGCTCTTCAAATCTGTCGTATAATTAATCTTTTTCAGTTGGTTGGAATGAAGCTACTGTATAGGAAATCTATTATGGTGCGCATTTCACACGCAGTCGAAATGAATTCCATCCCATGTCGCTAATGTTCGTCACGAACGGATTGAAAAGTAATTGAACACTCAGATCAAGAGAAGATCCTTCTGATGAGCTGGTAGAACTGCATTATTTGCTTTACAATCTGTTTTTGGAAAGGAAAAAAAAAAAAGCGTGATGGAACTTTTAGAGACAATGATGTTGCAGAACAGTATCTCTAAAGTGGATCAAGTTCATATTCTGAAAACATAGCCCTCTTAAGAAAGCACGCATGTAAGCTCGTGTGAACCACCTCCATCATTGTAGAGGCTGCTTTAGTAATGGAAATCACTAACCAACTCCAAATTATTTACTATGCGTCCTCTAAAACTAGAACCATGCAATGACCCATTCGCTTTACTATAACGAAACAATCCAGCGAGGTTCGTGAGCACATCTTTTGTTGCAACACATGATGAATTTGTGGATGAAAATGTTTTCTTCACAGATTGGACATATTTTTTTTACGGTGTGAAGCAACAAATGTCTACGTATTTAGGCCTCCAAAAATTAGTGATTGCGTTGATTGCAGCTGGTGTGGGGGCACCTCGCCGTATCCAGGTCGAACATTACCTGTTTCTTCTTCGTCGCTTGCCAAAGGTGTTCGTGAATTTGCACTTTGCGTCTCTCGTTTTCCTGAATCCTACAGTGCAGTACTTTAGTAGAAAATTCAGTTTCTCCACAACGACATCTTTACAAGTAACCGCCTCCATGTCTCAGAACTAGACCTGACCTCGCTTACTCCCTCGAGCATTACTTTATTTCTGTAATTTTGTGAGCGTGGCAAGCCTTCTCTAAATCGCCAATAGATTGTTCAATGCATGCGAAGATGCATCGGTATTTGAAGACCTTCGCAAAATATATGTTGGATGTATTGATCTATCAAGGACCACTGACTGAGGCCACGGAGACTCCGCCCATGAGGTTAGGGTTGTGAGACTGACGAAGTCGATGGAAGCTTGCGAGCCGAACGCACTCTGATGCGAAGACTTGGTCACTGCTTCAGATATGGCAGATGCTCTTGCATTGTGTGTGAAGGAGAAGAGGCACAAGAGTCGGGGGAAGAGGAAACAGCCTTCGCAAATCCTGCGCAGATAAGAACCCCATGCATGAAGACTTGTGCTAATTCGGCAACCATGGACGTCCATTCCAGTGCTCCGTTTGCGTCCTCGTCTTCCGTAAGATCGACTTCCATCTCGGAATCGAATCCAACCCTAGAAGAGATCCAACTTGCTTACCAGAAATTGCACAGTTTAACCTCCACTTCCTCTCCGAGATTCATTCCGGCGTCTGGAGCGGGAGTGATCTGTTCTTCAACCTATCCTCACAGCGGAGGATCGGTCGCTGGATTTTGCCCTTGGGCGTCGTGCAGCATTTCCAATTCGGGAAGCTATGACTGTCCACATTCGGTGCCGGGTGCATACTTCACACCGAAGGAAATTGCTTATCGAGGGCCGCTGAGCACCGGATCGAATACACCAACCCTGTCGAACCTTACATCAAATCTGGCCTGTAATGTCAAGACTCTTCAGAAGCTGGTCCAGAAGAGCTCGCCATCAAAGGTTGACCCGTCCACAGGCAGGCTCATGGACAAACTCAAGAATCTAGACGAAATCTTACGGAATCTCGATGAATCCCTAATCAGTAGGAAAATCTCAAATAAATACACCACGCCTCCGCCGGCGGACTTCAAGTTGTCAGACGAAAAGTACGCAACGTCGGCGGAGGCTGTCGCTGATCCTGCATGGCCGAAAAACGGCAGACTGTTCCGAGACGATGCAGGGCTCAGCGCGTTTGCGGATACTTCTTCTCGCTCTCTGACGTCCCCGTTCAGCTCGATACCCAATCAAATGCCAAATGCGGCGACACTGCCGCCCATAGCGAGGACGAAACCGGTGGCGGTTTCGAAACCAGAAGCCAATCTTGGAGTGGACCCAAATTGGCCAGAGAAACGAAGCTCTACGCCCACGCACATCCTTCAATCTTCCTCCCCGCCAGTGGCAGTCAGAGAATTACAAGACAACTCTCTCTTGCTCTCAAACCTCGAAAGCGTCACAACCCACAACCCGGGTGCAGCCTGCACCGAAGACAAGGCGAATATGAAGAAGCTGATGGACCACATTGCTCTCTTTGAACGCAGGATATCGCGCCGCATACGATGCCTACGAAGAGGAACTCGACGGCAGGTATAATCGCTCGCTCCTGCCTCGCGGATTTCGACAACTTCAAGCCTGTCGAAGTTGTTTTGCAATCGTCTAATCTCCAGTCATTCCTTGATGATTCCAGCAGCAATCTGGATGTCGAGTAGCGCGGCGTCAGCCGCCGACTCGCATACTGCAGCAACAACTTCTTTCAACGTTGCAACAGCGCTTGTCAAGGTGTGCTGGTGGTAAACCCTAAAATCTTAACCATGAATGACCATGTTCAAGTTTGCAATGTAAAGACCATTCATAAACACACAAACACACACACACACACACACACACATACACACATGTTTACGACGAACAATCTATACTCCAACTAACATCACAGTTTATTTGTTAAAAAGTATGGATTCCTATAAAACTCCTGTCTGAGATTATGGGGCCTTCTTCTCACCGTGAACTGTAATCGGATACACTAAATTCGTTCCGCACACACGATTCAACACTACCTTCAACAAACATGCGTGACGAATCCCGCGAGAGTTTTGTGCAATCCAGAACGGACGTTGGGTTGAAAGCTGTGAAGCGCCAGCTCGACCAAGTGCTGGTGAAGCACCACCGCTGCATGGCGGAAACCCCCGCTGCATCGGAGAAGGCATTGTGCATGGAATCGGCCTCGGATCCTTGTGCCGAAGCATCTTCGACGCCGACTCTCGCAGGGAGAGCCAAGACGGTGTCGGCCGAATCCCCACATCTCAGCGTGCGGCAACCCACCCTCCGTTGACTATGACAAATCAATGCTCATTTTTTATTTTTTATTTTAAATATTCAATGAACACACGTGCCTGAGAACATCCGCCTCGTTGCCTGTGGACCGTTGATAAGATATCCGCGTTGTATTCATAAAAAAACTAATATTTAGATATATTATGTGTGTACGAAGCTCATTTTACATATGGTACTGTGAGTTAACTATATATTCTATCAATACGGCGTTTCAAAGCAGTGTGAGAACTAGGAAGAGTAAAAAGAAGAATAACCCATATTTCAGTTTTGGGTGAATCATTGATACAGAGACACAGGGATTGTTGTATCAGTATGAAATTCATGGTTTTGTGTTACATGCTTCATGGCTTGACAACATCTGGTTAATTATACACAAACATACACGTTTCTGTCTCTCTTTTTAGTGAGTGCATATATATATATATATATATATATATATTTATTGCTCTTTCTCTCTTTTCTTTTCTTAGTATGAGGTTGATTTGTGAAGTTGTTGCTTGGCGCAGGAAAGAGTCTGTGAGATTGAAAAAGAGTGCCGTGAGCATAGTTCGGAGCTTGAGGTACAACAATTACTTGACGCAATGCTGAAATACTGAATTAGTAATAAAATTAAACCTTTTGAGGATCTATGAGTTACAGCAGTGCCTTCTTCATTAATATCTACACGTGGGCTGCACTTACTGCATATTAAGTTGGAGGGTTTTGCAGTTGTGTTGGGCAGCCATCAATCAACTGTGCATTGATAATGAGTTGTTTCGTAATGAGCTTCTTCAACAACAACAACAACAGCATCATCATCAAGGTTCCAACACATTGTCATTAGCTTGAAATCAATTTTTGTTAACATTGCAAAACAACACTTTAAAAAGAGAATTAAATACATTGATCGATCTTTGAACCAGAATTTAATTTTCAATAATACATTCAATTTTACAGAACATTGTACAGCAATGTGCACTGTTGGGACTGTTCCTTGTCTATACTGCTCCATAAGTTATTAAGAAATTGAAAAATGAACCATATGCAAGTTATAAGTAAAATGTTTTATTTCTATTAAAATCTAATGATGATTTTTTTTCAAAGTATTGATTTATTTTTTAACTTACATTTTTTTTACCATGATTTTAGTAAAAACATATAATCTATTTTCTTCATAACATGTAATGATTAAAACAGATCAGTGTATTTTTATATCAAACGTTGTATATTTTAACACACCATGTCATGAAATTCCAGAATCTTACAATATTTTTTTTATAACAATCATAATAAATTTCTTTACAATCTACAGTATGGATAATAGTTTAGGGAGTATTTCTTAATATTCGTCATGATGACTGTAAGTGTAAAGTTTAGAATATTACTGATGAACAATGCAACCCAACTAAAAGAGTCAATTAGGCTCAAACTTTACTAAAATTTAACTTATAATTTGATGTTCATGACTTAATCCTATTTCTTTGATACAAAAATTGCTCCAAAAGTTGCTATGCTATTAATAATATATGGATAAAAAATATTTTAAAAATAGATTATTGTTCTACAGGATCAAAAGATTTTTTTGTATTTGTAACTTATTTTATGTAATTATTTAGTGTCTTAAAAAAATAAAAATTTATAATATTTTAAAATACACTTCATAAATATAAGTAAATTAAAAATTCCAAATTAAAAAATACATATATAACTTTAGAGGAGCATATTACAAAAAAGTACATGAAAATTATAGATTATATATATCTAAAATTTTAAATGAAGTAATGAAATATAATAGCATATACTTGAAAGTGTATTTTACACTATGCATACATTTGAGAGAGAGGAAGAAAGAAATTTTTTAAAATTAAAACATGTATATATATATATATATATATATATATATATATGATCTAAATATTACAAAATGGATAACTTTATATTAACAAGAACAATCACTAAGGTGTTTGTAAAACATGTTTTAGATATAATAATTTTTTGTTCTTTTAGAATAATTTTACATAAATCTATAAAATTAATAAACAAATAACTCCATGATATTGATTCTATGTAGATAATATTACAACATGTGCTCATTAAAAAAATTACAAAACAAACTCTATTTCTTATTGTTTTCTTTATTATTTAGCAAAGTTTCAAGTTTTTTACTATCATTTTGTACTATTTCTAGTCTAGATTATTATTTTAATACACATCCAAACAATTAATACAAAGTTAACACACTTTTAATCTTAATGTATAATCATCACAGATACCTTCACGTTGAAAGTTATTGCACCTTTCAAATTTTATGAAAATATTGTTTATTTATATTATATCTTTTAAAATAATATTTAAAATTTATTTTTTTTATTTTTTTGATTTTTATTAGAATTCTTTACTAACTAAATATAAATCTTATTAAGTGTCATTTATACTTTGTGTTTTGAAACCAAATCATTTTTTTTTTAAAGAATAAATTTAATAATTATCTGTTTTAATTTTAAAAATAAATAATATAATTATTTATATATTTGTATTTCAAAAATATTTTTAAATATTTTAAAGCTCTATGGTATTCTTAAAATATAAATAAATTAAAAAAATAAAATATATTAGATAGAATTCTAATTAATAAAAAACCTCAAAAATACAAATGTGATTCGTTTTGTATAAATTGCAATTGAAAAAATATATAGAAAAAATTAACACTAGATTGTAGAAATTTTGGAATAGACCTTCTATGAGAAATATAACAGTAAACTACAATTCTACCACCTTATATTATGTCGTTTTTTATTATCAAAAGTTTGCATTCATGTATTCTATATTAAAAATAAAATCTATAGAATTAAAATTTAATCATATTATTTTTTTAAATTATTCTACATAATATCAAATATATTTTTCTAGAAGAAAAAATTTAGTTCTAAACGTTGCACAAATGTTTATAATTAATATTGTATTTGCTTCATTATAGATTAATGTCACAGACATATATATTTACTTCAATAGTTACTTATATGATTAAGTAGAAGTATGTAAATATAGAGTAATTTCATAAAGTCTTCTAGAAAAGCTTCCTAGAAGCTTCATAGACGCGGTTTTGACTTTAGATGTGTTTGTAGAGTAGAAACTTGGCAAAAAAGCTAAGCATGTATTGGTAGCTTGTAGTACAAGTTATCTCCATGTAGTAGCTTGTGGAACAAGCCAACTATGTGGTGCATACATAGATAACTTGCCTTGCAAGATAAGACATGTGGCTAGTAAAGTCAACACATGTTGGAGATCCTATATGACATCACCACGTAGTTCTTAGTTAGATAATATATATGGTGGCAAAAGTGAAGTCTTCTTTGCTCTTGTCAATGCCTTTCTAGTCTTAGTCTTTTTTCAAGACTTTTAAGTCTTCTTGTTTTTGGCAATAGCCATTCTTGTTAATATTACATCACCTTTTGAGAGACTTTCTAGTTCTCTTCAATGATAGAAGAGTGTATTGAGGATTTTCTTTCTTCGAGATTCATGTCGTTGATAGTTTAACAAGAGTGCTAACATATTAATTCTGTCTTGTACTAGAAATGAATGGATTATTCCACTTCTATTGATGTATTTTGAGGATTACGGACTATCCACCTTTAAACAAAAAATCTTGTTTTCTCACTGATTTTATTTTTAAAAAGAGTGGATTACCCATCTTTGTGGGATTTTTTTTTAGAGGTTGCAGATAATCCTCCTCTCATTTAACTTTTGAATTTATTTGAGTTATCTATGGAAAGAAAGATTATGGATGCTACTCTCAATGGAAGTGAGAATAGATTTGCAACTACAGCAGATCTTTATGAGCTTGTCAATATTCTAAGAGTAAAAATATCATGTATTTTCAACATGAATCATGGAAATACTATGCCTATACTTATGGAAGAAGTTCAGAGTGTGCGGCAAGAACTTGTGTAGTTAAAAGAAGCAAGTAGATCAACGTCACAACCAAATTCAAGGAGTTTTGCTTCTACTAGTATGACAAGGACAAGGATTAGTATGTCTCAGAAGTTTGATGGAACAAGATCAAAATTTCAAAGATTTTTGCAACAACTCAAGCTCTATCTAAGGCTGCGCTCTTTCCAAAATCCTGATGGATTTCCTAAGTCAGATTTATAGGCACACTACTACCAGAAAGTGCTCTTTCTTCAATAGAAAAAGATTCACAACTCTTTTATGATTTGAATTCATTCCTAGAAGTGTTTATGGCCACATTCAGAGTAAGTGATTGAGAACGAGTAGCAGAGACAAAGCTTTTATCCTAACGGCACGGATCACAATCAACCACTATATATGCTACCGTATTCTAAAATCTTGCTTGTGATGTGGACTAGAACGACAAAGCACTTAAGTCATTTCATGTGATAATCGTTTATTGGAAAGGCTTCAAGAACAAAGATTTGATTGGAGAAGAACAAGTCAAGTAAGGCGGCAACTCCCAAGTTCTCTAAAACGTATTCATTAAAGCCGAAACTAATACAAATTGATATGATATGTTTTAAATCTCTCACGAAGTAGGAAAAGCCTCGACGTCACTAAGAGGGATTGTGTTTATATTGTCGAGAAGCTAAGCATACTATTCAACATTGTTCAAAGAAACAGTGCTATTACAAAATGAGGAGCACAATTACCAAAAAAGATAATGTGTTGGAAAACCACTTTTCCTAAGTATAATAGAGACTGTGTAGTTGGAATCGTGTACAAGATCTAGTAAAGGTCCTATCCTCTTCTCAAATCCTTCACCTTTTTTTATAATAGAAATATACTTAGGACCTAATAATCACAAAATCTTTGCCTTGTTAGGTTCAAGAGCCTCACCATGTTTTATAGATAAAGATATTGCCAAAAATCAAAAAATACCTTTAATGAAGAAAGTTAAATCCATCCATGTAGAAGTCATAGATGGTCATTTTTTGTCTTTTGGAAATGTTACCCATGAAACTATTTCTTTAGATATAGCAATTAAAGATTTTAAAAGCATAGTAGTATTTAATATAATAAAATCTCTCTCTAATCCGATTATTTTAGGATTATCATGGCTAGAAAAATATAATCCTCAAATAGATTGGATTTCTCGTAACTTTAACTTTCTTGATAGTTTAATCTAAGATTGCATTAGCAAAATAAAAGTACGTAAGTTCAGTATGTCAAAACTTTTACTAGTAGGTGCAAAATCCTTCATACATGTTGCAAAAGAAGGATCATCCTTTGCTATATATGCTACACCCATTTTTTATGGTGAAACAACGTCAAATGGTATTCCTAAAAAAATATGAAGAATTCTAAGACATTTTTGAAATGAAGAGTGTAGGTATTCTCCTCAAATATTGACCTTATGATTGTTCAATTGATCTGCAAGAAGAAGCTCAACCACCATTTTGACCAATCTATAGCTTATTCCAGAATGAGTTTGCTACATTAAAAGATTACATTGATAAAAATTTGGCAAAGAACTTCATACGCCATTCTAAATTTTGAGCCGGGACTCCTATCTTATTTGTAAAGAAGAAAGACGGATCTCTACGAATGTGTGTGGATTATCGAGGACTCAACAAGATCACCATTAAAAATAGGTATCATTTGTCTTTGATTTTAGGACTTTTTGATCAACTCAATCAAGCAAAGATCTATACCAAAATAGATCTATGAGGAGCATACAACTTAGTTCAGATCAAAAAAGGGGATGAATAGAAGACTTCTTTTTAAACTAAGTATGGACATTTTGAATATAATATCATGCCTTTTGAACTCACAAATACACCGGCTGCTTTTGACAATCTTATGAATGATGTTTTTCATGAGTTCTTAGATAATTTCATTGTTTTCTATTTAAACGATATTTTAATCTATTCTAAGAACACAAAAGAATATGAGCTTCATGTTCGTTGCATGCTATAGAAACTTAGAGATGTAGGATTATATGCCAAGTTGAAAAAGTGTATATTCCATACTATTCAAGTTGACTTTTTAGGATACATCATTTCCAAAGAAGGCCTTATGATGGATCCTAAGAAGGTTCAAACTATCATAGATGGGAAGATTCCAAAAACAGTATGAGATGTGCAATACT